GGTCATTAGTAGATGGCCCTTCAATCAGTGGCGTTTTCTCCCGGAGGCCAAGGGAAGCCAGGCTTCCCCTGTTTTTTCGGATTGTAGTTATAATTTTAATAAATAAATAAAAACACTTCGTTTAGTTTCGGAAATTCTTTGCTGTGTGTTGCTGCCGGCCCGTCTCTCCCCCATTCTCATTGAGTATTTTACAAAGAGTGAAACAGCGCCCCTCTAGATGTTATGGTGAAACAGTAGATTGCACTCTCTGCTGCGAGAGGAGGCCAGCCGAAATTGGCTTCTCTTGGTGAAAAAAAATGGAGGGATTGACCAATCAGATGAGGCTCACGTCATGCACCTGCCAACCTGTGATTGGTCAGGGCCATGCCAAGGGAAGCCAGAGGCGGCTGGCTTCCCTTGCCTCACAATCCAATCAAATCGCATCAACTGAGTGTTGCAGTGACGCGTCCTAAAACCCGGAAGTAAGCTGCGCTCGGTTTCCCTCGACAGAAAGCAATGGGATTTCTCCATAAGATTTAGGAAAATAGCTGGAAATAAGGTCAGTGGAAAACGAACCTGTTAGATAAATGCACGTTTTGTTCAGTCGGATAATATCCACATGTCTACCCTACTTTCATAATTTTCGAATCATAAATCTAATCGATAGAAGATAGATAGCGTCACTGCACCACTCTCACCGCCGTTAGAAAGTAGCAAGCAACTGAAGCAAGTGCAATTATGGAGGGTGGAGATTTGGAGTATTTCATCAAAAAATAATTGTACTAAACTTCCGCTACAGCAGCAACAACAAATACAATCTGATGACAGGCTGATGCCCAAACTGGAGCTGTGTACAGCGAGGAAAAAAGGAACGAATCGGATGTAAAACGTTAAAGGTCTCCTGATTTAGTTTGTGAATGAATGCTTATTAGAGTTTCGGCTGGAGAGTGCATACGGACCTGTCGGTTAGATAACAGGCGTGTGTAAGTCCTGCATCTGATACAAATGTGTGTAAAATGATACCGGGTGCTGTAATCACTCATCTGGTTACGTTATTACATTGACCACCACACCCCCGACCCAAAAGAAAGGACGTATTATTGGCTTCCCCTAATTGTTTTCCCCACGTCACGCTACTGCCTTCAATCTCTTGTTGAAAGAGGCTCTGGACTCTATGTCAGCGAGGTAGTTTGGCAATGAGTTCCTTATAGCTCTATAAGACACAGAAGAGTTCAGAAGATGTGTCCTGGGTTTAGGTGCCCGTAGATGGCCTGATGCAGCTTGTCTAGTCTTATGGTCGTGCTCGTCTCTTGTGTAAACTATTTGATCATAAAAATACAGTGTTTTTTTGCTAAATTGGACATTTTTTAGAAAAGTGATCTAAGTTAAGCTTAGGCCTAACATATCCAGTGGGGTTAAGACCATTTTAGATCATGTGATAGCCCAGTCCTCTCACACCCAAATACAGTTTTGAGTTGTCTACTACTCATCAAACCAACCAGATTGTATTGCTGTTTTAATGCATTTCTCAAAAGATAAACACAGTCCGTTATGAACGCTAATTTGTCCTTCTGTGTGTTAAACTTCGGGCAACTTACGAAGGCTTGTAAACTTATGAAATGAGACGTGTGTTCTTGAAATGTATAGCTTGAATGTCGGTAGCTCTTAACATGGTGAAGGGAAAGTCAATAGATGTTAGATCATAGCTGACATTTGATTCCAACGTGACTTACATTCAATCTGAGAATACAAACAATAAGAATCGTGCAAGAACATGAATATCAAATAAGTCAAATTGTTTCTTTTTTTACACGTTTTTGGGGGAAATATCTTTGGCCTATGTGCAGTCAAAACTGTTTATAATCAGAAGATGTGTAGACTTTCCTCAGGGACAGTTAGTAGAAACAAGTCCCCGGAGCGAAGCCGATCTTTGTTCATAAAAGAAAATCAAAATCTAGCAAAAAAGTCAGAATTATATAAATAATTCTTTTTTTCTTTTTTTTTACAATTTCGTGAAAAAGTCACACAAAAAAAGTCACATTTTCAAACTCGCAGAGACCAGAGGCCTGTACTACGAAGCTGGATTTTTGCTAAGCGGCTAACTTCAGGGAAAGCTCCGGCTTTCCGGTCCTACGAAGCTGGTTCTCTTTTTAGCGGCTAGATCTCCATGGTAACTGATGCTGAGCGGCTAACCTTCTCCGGAGCAGGTTAGGTTGCAGGCTAAGAGCTCAACTCAGTGAAAGCACCGCCTGCTGACCAATCAGAGCTCAGTGTGCGGAGTTTAAAGCGATCAAGTCATATTACAGGAGAAAGGAAATACAGAAAAGCTGCCGTTGCAGGAAAGACGGCCGGCAAAAATCACCGACTGTGTGAACGTGAACATGAATAGAATATCACCTCCATCTTCAGAGCAATCTGACTATTATAACATTAGCGTTAAGAAAGCTTACTTAAATATCTGCCACAACATAAGTAACCGGATCAGAGTCACATTAAGTACAGTCCATATCACTTCATAATGTATCATCTCCTGATCTGAGTCAGCTGAGCCGTATCTGGCCGTGCAACACTCACAGCGTCACAGACTGGATGCAGAAGCATTATTTGAAGCAACACATTAAGTTGAGGAAACACTGGAGTCAAAGGTAATGAAAGTCAGATGGTGTTTTAGACGGGCAGTGATATCATAAAGCTGTTAATGTACGCATTCAAACACTTGTTCTGTTACCAGCTGTATTCACCTTGCAGGTGCAGCTCTGTGGCTTTGATCCTGGATCAAGTGTTTAAGTCATGGATGTTTAAAGTTTAACTTCTTCATATGTCTAATATAATAGTTGACTTTTCATTCAGGAAGTATGACGCTGCGCTGTCAGTGCGCTTCTCCATGTTTGTGATTGGTCGAATGCTCCAGATACCACCCCTCTCATGTGAACGCGCACCTAACTAGATAGGACACGGCTGGCTTGAACGATCCACTTGATAACCAGCGTCGTAGGACCGCTTAGCGAGAGCGCGTATGTTTTGGATTAGGCCAACCTAACTCAAACATATCCAGGTTAGGTTGAACCAGCTTCGTAGAACAGGCCCCAGGTAAAGCGCTATATAAGCACAGGACTCAAACCAGTGTCCATTTGATGTTCATGCAACCAAGACCCTAAAGATTCAGATAGTGACTCCTCTCCGTCCATTTCCTGATAGAAGACAGTCAAAGTAACCTGCATACTTATCTCATTTACTGGGTTGGGGGTGGGGGGTATATTTGATCTGCTTTTTGGCAGTCTGGTTTAAATGTGCACGTTGAATCTACAGTATGTATTACACTGCTCAATGACATTATGATTTTCCTTATAATGAAAACTTTCAAAAACAAAGTGTTAAAGAAGACGGTAAAAGTTACTTTAACTTTAGATATTGGTGGAACCTGCGACAACAAAACTTATTCTAGTTTTCTATCAAATGTACTACCATAGGCGCAGTTTGACATTTGCGCTTGGGGGGGGGAAACATTTTGTACTGTCGTCAGTACACAGTCCCAACTATTGCGTGGGGTCACGGATACAGTAGCAATAAAGTCAGCGTTCACCGCACTGAGTATGACTTTTCCACATACGAACACAACTCGTCCCGTCATGCACGCCTCATGCACGCCTCATGCACGCCTCATGCACGCCTCATGCACGCCTCATGCCCGCCGTACACACACACTCATATGGAAGGGGCGGTCTCTCCCCCCAACAACAGTGCATTACATAACTGTAAAACTTATCATAACTGTGCACATCTTATACTTATTTGATAACTACTATATCCCTTGCAGTGGCGAACCGTCAGGACCTTCAAGGTATTCAGAGAATACCCTGGAACACTCAGATAAAACAAACAAAACATCGATTTAATTATATAAATAAAATGTTAAAAAAATGTAATAAAATGAATAAATGAGAATGGTATCCGTGTTGTTGATCTGTAATATCACAGTGTTACGTTGATTTGTTTGTCCTCCTCGGACCATGCTCTACACATTTCAGTGGTTTTGTGTTAGAAAAGAAAGCAACCAATCAGATCTTGTTCTGGGTCTCTGGGTAGAATATCCTTCAACAAGGTATTCTCCATCCTTGATCGAATGCCCTGGCCGTTGCACTGAATGAGAGCGTACGTTTGGACTGAAAGTTTGATCAACCAATCATATATTGATTTGTAGCCAATGGGCGTGTTCTTCCAGAGTTTCCCTCGGTTCCAGGGTACTCTAGAAGGCCCGCTAGTTAACTGGCTCGAGGCAGAGGATCTATGAATGCGACGAAGCAATTCATGCCGTTTTATTGTTTTTAACGTGGAAATGGAAAGTGCAACAGGTGAAGTTGTTGCGGAATTGTTGTGAGTGCCATTTTCAAGACGACAATTCAGTGAAAAGACGGACATTATAATGCCGCGGAGGAGGGGGGGGTGTGTGTCTACAGAAGGTCCAGTTGTGATAGACACGGTTCGCCACTGATCCCTTGGTTACTTGAACACGCTACAATATTATTAACCAGTGTCCTACTTAGTGCAGAAGTAGACGCCTTAAACGTCCCAGAAATTGGACGTTTTAAAAATCGCCGCATATCTTATTGTAATACAATAGCTGAATCACTTGTATGTAAAAAAAAGCGAGGGAACTTGTGTCCTTAACCTCATACGTCACACACACACATCACACACACATCACACACACACACCACACACACACATCACACACACACATCACACACACATCACACACACACGCGTCACAACATGCGACTGCTCAAAAATGAAATTATTTCAAACAAAACATGCTATTATTCAGAGTTGTATTGTAACAATCATTATATTACATCTATTAAATATTGATATACGAAATATTTGTATTGGAACAGTTTTAGAAGTAGTAATGCTGTAACATATTTCAGCCACTAGGGGGGGCAATGCCCCCCCTGCCCCCCCCCCGCAAAATCCGCCTATGTGTACTACTGCAGAATGTTCCCTCTCTTCATCCCCCTCACCTTCATCATCAGTACGATGGTGTTCAGAGCGATCATGGCCAGCACGGTGTACTCGAAGGAGGGCGACACCACGAAGTGCCAGAGGCGGTACTGGAAGGTGTGTCGGTTCTGAGGCATGTAGCGGGTCAGAGGCTTCGCACCGAGGGCAAAGTCTATACACGCCCTCTGAAACACAGGAAGAAGGGGTTAACGCCGGGGGGCCACATACAGAAAATATACAAAGGGCTGGGCCGCTCACAGGAGGTATACCGCCTCATCAGTTCAGTTAGGAGTTAGCAAAATCAATCAAATACATGATGCTTGTGAGTGTTGGCAGCTCATCCCTTAAAACACACACACACAAACGACAAAATCTCATTTCCTGTCATATCATATGTGTTTATCCTATCCTCTGTTGTTGTGTTGATGTTGCCTTGATAGAAGCGTTTGCATCACTGTCTTCTCTGTGTCACTGTGTAATGTAAACAATAATTCAATTGAGCCTGCACTGTTTATGATTTGTTATCTTTGTCATGATTTTATCATTTGTATTGTGCAAAAGTTTATTTTAGGCTTTACAGAAAAGACTGGTCATGTGTACTTTGCATACAGTATAAGCATCACTGTGTTCCTGTAACCTCCAAATACACTTTGGTCCAATTCCAAACCACACCCTACACCCTACCCCTCCGTTTGCGCGTTCGCGCGGAAGGTCCGCCATATTAAGTGCTGTTCCAAAGCAACGAGTGTGGAGCGGTGTGGAGGGGGAGTGGGCTATCAAGCCCTCAAACAGCGAGTCTGCAGCGGTGCTGACTTGAGACCGGTCTCTACCTGACCGGAGTCACGCTGTGTGTGTCCCTCAGGAAACAAGCTGTTTACAAGTAGTTCCAGCAAACATCCACTGATAAAGTGGGTTTTCTCTGGAAGTTTTTCCTTGTACGATGTGAGGGTCTAAGGACAGAGGGTCTAAGGACAGAGGGTCTAAGGACAGAGGTTCTAAGGACAGAGAGTCTAAGGACAGAGGTTCTAAGGACAGAGGGTCTAAGGACAGAGGGTCTAAGGACAGAGGGTCTAAGGACAGAGGGTCTGAGGAGAGAGGGTCTAAGGACAGAGGGTGTCGTATTGTCATAGTGATATTCTGTACAAACTGTGAAGTCCACTGAGACAAATGTGATATTTGTGATATTGGGCTATAAATAAACATTGATTGATTGATTGATTGATTGATTGATTGATTGATAAATTGCGATGTTAACAACCTCACGATAACAGCATTAACGATTACTTAGGACAGGGTTTCCCACACATAGACTTTACTTCGGCGGGCTGCCCAGGTATATTAACGGCCACCAAAGTATATTTCGCGACCCATTTCGTTTTTATTTTTTTATTTATTGTATCCGTCCGTAGTGGACAATGATCCCTCGCTCTACGCCTGGACCTGTTCGCTCTGCCATCGCGTGAAGGGTCTGCTAACAAGCGACCGACAGAAAGGTTCATATTGTTGCACGTCACCTCACAACCCCCCCCCCCCCCCCTTGTCGTGTATATGTACAGACTGTTGCAAGAAGCTTATAAACATCAGGTTTAAAACACAATTAAAGATGTTTGGAGTTTTATTTGAGTTATTAATTTAAATGTTTTGTCAAAGAGAAGCTGATCTGAGCAGCATGTCCTGTTTCTGCCGGAGAGAGGGGAGTTTGTCCCAAAGCTTGCTGCTACTCCCTCCATCTGACAGGGGGGAGCCTCGTTGAGCTGCGAGTGTCACTCCTTCACGGAGTGGGAGTGGGTAGGGTGTGGTTTGGAATCGGGCCAAAGTCATTACAGAGCTTAAGTTGTCCTAGCGTTTAAGCAAAGGAAGTACGTCTTGTTTAAACGTTTATCAGATCATTTTGGGATGTCCACATTTGTAACGAGAGTAAATTAAAGTACTTCCTTGGAGGTTTCCAAAAGTGTAAAATAGAATACAGAAGAGGAAGCAAAAGAGAGACAGAAAAGTGTGAACAATTAAATTAAAAAAGCTGCAAAAATAGGCTTACGGGTCATTAAAAACAGAGAGGGTTTTGTTTATCGTCCCTCACCTCGTTCTTCTCCAGGCTGCACTCCTCCATCATCTTATCCCCCTGCTCCTGGAAAGTGATGATGATGAGTGCCACGAAGATGTTGACGAAGAAGAAAGGGAAGACGACAAAGTAGATGACGTAGAAAATGGACATCTCCATCCTGTTGCCGTGGCTCGGACCTCTGTCCTCCTCCGTCACGTCCACTGAGTGCTGGAGGACCCTGGAGGGAGAGGAGACACCATGCTAACTGATGCTAACTGATGCTAATGGGTGCTAACCAGAGATGGCAAAAGAACCCACATCCTGTACTCAAGTAGAAGTACACACATCCTTTACTCAAGTAGAAGTGCACACATCCTTACTCAAGTAAGTACAACATCCTTAAAGTAGAAGTACACACATCCTTTACTCAAGTAGAAGTACACACATCCTTTACTCAGTAGAAGTACAGATACTCGTGTTTAAAAAATACTCTGGTGAAAGTAGAAGTACTGACTAAACTTCTTTACTCAAGTAAAAGTAAAGAACTTTGAAATGTACTTCAGTAAAAAGTACCCATAACTAGCAGCTGCTTTAAAGAGTACCTGACCTCCCTTTATATTAATAGAACAATAATGTCATTGTTAGCTAATGAATGTTTCCATTGTGGTGACACGTTATTGGACATAATTCACCTTGCTTATTGTGTTGCCACACGGACCCTTTAGTGGGGAACACCTGTAGCTTTAGCTGCCATTCCTGCTAGCTCATCAGGCAGAGCAGTGCATGTGTTAACCTCTCTGAAAGTAATGGATAATAAAGATTGGAACTCCATTCTTAATACACCGCCTCCGACTCTCTTTTCACGGCACTACACTGGTGACCCTGACTTTCCCGAGAAAGTTTCCGGAAAATTAACGAACATGGCTGAGCGCGATGTTTTCATAAAGCTGCCGGAATTCTGGGAGCACGCCGCGGAGGCATGGTTCGCACACGTGGAGGCACATTTCGCCTGCCGACAGGTCCATGACGGGGACCTAAAATACTACCATGTGGTAGCAGCGCTGGGGAGCTCCACGTCGTCCAGGTTGGTGGGATTCATCGCAGCCCCCCCACATCATGGCAAATATGAGGCGATTAAGGCCCTTCTCCTTAAGACATTTAGCTTATCTGCCTAAGGAGAGGGCCCGACAGATACTTGACATTCAAGGCCTAGGAGACAGCAAGCCATCCCATGCAGCTAATGGAGAAAATGCTAAATCTGCTAGGGGGGGAAGATCCCCGGATTTTATTCACGGAGATTTTCCTGCGTCACTTGCCTCCCCCGGGTACAGACGGCGCTGGCCAACACGCCTGTCACGGAGCCCCGTGCTTTGGCTGAGGAAGCGGATCGTTTTTTTCCTGGCTACGCAACAGCCCAGGGCAGAGACGTTAGCCGCGACGCTCAGCGGCCCACCGGCAGTCAAGAAAGCGTGGCGGAGGCCGGACACGGCTGTGGCTAGCCGGCGTGGAGACGCCGGAGAGTGCGTTTACCACGCACGTTTCGGGACAAGGGCGAAGAGATGCATCGCTCCGTGCAGCTACAACCCCCGGGAACGGAGGGGCCGGCGCTCAGTAGTGGCTCTGAGCGTCGGCGGCACGTGCAGGCTCCTCTTCGTCAGCGACAGCGTTTCGGGGAGCTTGTTTCTGTGTGACACGGGCGCTCAACCGGAGCGTAGTTCCCAGCGTCGAGTGAAGACGTCGCCCGTGGGGGGCACGGACCGCGATTGACGACGGCTAACGGCAGGTCCCATTCGCACGTACGGCGTGAGGCCTATGTGTTTGTGCATCGGAGGACAGCGTTTCAGCTGGGATTTTGTGACAGCGGACATTTCTTTTCCCCTCCTCGGAAGCGGATTTTTTGTGTGCTCATGGACTCTTAGTGGACGTTAAGAATAGTCGTTTGGTTGATGCCTTAACGTTTTCTTCCCTCGTGTGCACACTTGGCAGCGCAGCGTACGACGGGCCTGTCAGGCTCGCTGTCAGGTGCAGACAGGTTTCTCACGACTGTTGGCCGAGTTTCCAGACATGTCGCTACCCACCTTCTCTGCGCTTACCACTAAGCATGGCGTGGAACACCACGTCACTACCGGGGGGCCTCCTGTCTACGCCAGGGCCCGGCGGTTGAACCCTTCTAAGCTGGCTGTAGCGAGGGACGGAGTCGCAACATGGAGCGCCTTGGGCATTGTCCGCCGCTCCGACAGTCCTTGGGCTTCCCCCCTGCACGTCGTTCCCAAATCGAACGGCGGGTTCCGCCCGTGCGGGGATTGCCGCCGACTCAACGACGCCACTACGCCCTGACCGCTATCCGGTACCGCACATTCAGGACTTTTCGGCGCATCTGGCCGGTACGGGGGTGTTTTCCAAGGTGGACCTGGTGCGTGGATACCACCAGGTGCCCATGCACCCCCTGGACATTCCCAAGACAGCAGTGATAACGCCTTTTTGGACTTTTTGAGTTCCTGCGGATGCCTTTTGGACTCAAGAATGCCGCTCAGACGTTCCAGCGCCTGATGGATTCGGTGCTGCGGGACCTGCCGTTTGTGTTTGTTTACCTCGACGACCATACTCGTCGCCCCAGCGCTTCAGTGCAGGAGCACCTGTCCCACCTCCGAGCCCTTTTCACACCGGCTCAACGAACACGGATTAATCATCAATCCTGCAAAGTGCCAGTTCGGGGTGTCGGACATCGATTTCCTGGGGCACCCGCGTCACAAGGGCGGTGCGACACCTCTGCCAGCGAAGGTGGAGGCTGTTGCGGCGTTTCCTCGCTCCGCTCACAGCCCGGTCGCTCCGTGAGTTTCTGGGGATGGTGACTTTCTACCACCGTTTCATCGCCCGGGCCGCACACATCATGCGGCCGCTGTATGAAGCGTTGAAAGGCAAGACCCCCGTCCAGGAGATCGAACTGGACAGCAGAGGCGGACGGCGCTTTTGCTGAGGTCAAGACCGCGTTGGCTCAGGCGGCTTTGCTGGCACACCCATCATCTACGGCTCCCATCTCCATCACCACGGACGCGTCAGACTACGCGGTCGGCGCAGTGCACGAGCAGTGGGTGGAGGGGCGCTTGGCAGCCGCTCGCCTTTTTCAGCCGCCAGCTGACGCCTAGAGAACGCAAATACAGCGCCTTTGACCGGGAGCTCCTCGGACTTTATTTGGCCGTGCGGCACTTCCGTTTCATGCTGGAAGGCCGTGAATTTACGGCGTTTGTCGACCACAAGCCGCTCACCTTCGCCATGTCAAAAGTGGCGGAGCCTTGGTCGGCACGTCAGCAGCGGCAGCTGTCCTACATATCGGAGTTCACTACGGACATTAAGCACGTGGCTGGCAAGTCGAACCTGGTTGCTGATTGCCTCTCCAGGGTCGTCATCGGTGCCGTCCAGTTGGGCCTGGACTATACTCGCATGGCGGCAGACCAGGTCACAGATCCCGGCGTCCAGGCCCTGAAGGTGGAGAGCGCGGGGGCTGCGCTTGGAGGACGTGGTGTTCGGCGACGCGGGCATACTCTCCTGTGTGACGTCTCTACGGGCCTGGCGCGGCCTGTCGTCCCTGCCAGCTGGAGGCGTCCTGTGTTCGAGGCTGTGCACGGCCTGTCACACCCCGGCGTTAAACCTTCGGTGCGTTGGTAGCGGCGAAGTTCGTTTGGCAAGGACTGAAAAGGGACGTGAGGACTTGGGCCAGGGAGTGCGTGGCTTGTCAACGCGCTAAGGTGCACCGCCACACGAAGGCCCCGTTGGAGCGTTTCCTGGTGCCTGAGAGGAGGTTTGATCACGTCAACATTGACCTGGTTGGTCCGTTGCCTTCCTCTCAGGGGTTTTCCTACCTCCTCACCATGGTGGACAGAACTGACCCGTTGGCCGGAGGCGGTTCGCTCGTTTCGGCATCAGCCGCAGACTTGCCCGGGCCTTGATTGCAACGTGGGTGTGGCGTTTGGGCACCCCTTCAAGACATTTCCTCAGAACAGGGGCTCTCAGTCACGTCCGAGCTCTGGAACGCTGTGGCAGGCGGTTTGGGGGTTAAGCTGGCACAGGACTACCGCTTACCACCCTCAGGCTAACGGCCTCTGCGAGGCGCTTTCATCGCTCCATGAAGGCGGCCCTCAAGGCCGGCCTTACGGACGGTAACTGGGTCGACAAGCTGCCCTGGGTGATGCTGAGCCTGAGGACCGCACCTAAGGAAGATCTGCAGTGTTCTACAGCGGAGATGGTCTACGGTCAGCCGCTGAGAGTTCCGGGGGATTTCCTCCCAAATGCATCGGCTCCCTGGTCGGCGTCGGCCAGCGGGCTTTCCTGCGTGACGCCGCTGAGGCCTTTGGCTCCGATCCCTACTACTCAGCACGGTACTCAAGTGTCCCAGGTTCCCGCAGAGCTCCGCTCGGCGGAGCACGTGTTCATCCGGCACGATGCGCACAGAGGCCCCCTGCAGCCCCCTTATGAATGGGCCTTTCCGGGTCTTGGAGCACGGGGACAAGCACCTGGTGGTCGACCTGGGTGGCAAGGCCGAGCACGTCTCGGTGGACCGGGTGAAGGCTGCTCACCTGGACTTGGACCAGCCTGTGGTGCTGGCTCGACCTCCGCGACGGGGCCGCCCCCCGGCCTCGTCCCCTGTCACGGATTTAAGACCTGTTGTTCCGGTCCCTCCCCTTCCGGGGGCCGCACAGGCGGGAGTCACTTTTCCGACTCCCGTGCTCAGGAGTCGTGGGGGTCGGCGTGTCGTTCCTCCCCGCCATGCTGATTTTGTTTATGTTGAATTCTGGGGGGCTTGTGTGGTGACACGTTATTGGACATAATTCACCTTGCTTATTGTGTTGCCACACGGACCCTTAGTGGGGAACACCTGTAGCTTTAGCTGCCATTCCTGCTAGCTCATCAGCAGAGCAGTGCATGTGTTAACCTCATCTGAAAGTAATGGATAATAAAGATTGGAACTCCATTCTTAATACAACCGCCTCCCGACTCTCTTTTCACGGCACTACACCATGCTGAACAACGGCAACATGACAACGTTTCCATTGGTTCCCTCTTCTTTAGAGAGGACCAGGAAATGATGGATACACGGATCGTGTTCAAATCAATAGGCACGCAATGACTCTAAAGAATAATGA